CTATCATAGATCTTACTCCTGATAATTGGTCTTCATTGCAAGCAAACCCGTTAATATCCCGTAGACACTCATACATTAGACCAGAAGTTTCAACTAATCCACGTAATACTTTGTCTAGATTGGAATTGTCTGCAGCACTTATCAATGCAGACAATTCCAATAAATAAGGATTAATCCCTTCTAACAGGTTAGAGGCTAGCTTTAAGTTGTTGTCACAAAGGGCTTGTGTTAATATAGGAAACAAGAATAAGCTTTGGTTTATGGTTTCAAGTACTTGTAACATTTTCATTTCTTATTAAGATCCTCAATAATAAACCGATAGGAATAAAAATAATCACACTACGTCCACAAAATGTCAGTATAATATACCAGATTCTAGACCTAAATGGTGATTTTCAGTTAAATGATATGCTAGCAGACGTCAAAATCCCACAGCTAAGAAAATAGTACCAATAATAACATGTATTCCGTGGAAACCAGTTCCAAAGTAAAAACATGAACCATATGCTCCATCTGATAAGGTGAATGAAGATACGGAGTATTCAACACCTTGAAATGCAGTGAAAACTAAAGCCAGTAAGATAGTAAACATAGCTCCGTTTAAAGCCGCGTTTCTGTTTCCCTGTATAAGAGAATGGTGAGAATAAGTGATAGTTACACCAGATGCCAGTAGTATAACAGTGTTAAGTAAAATGGTAATTCAAAAGCTTGGATGGCTTCGATACCCATTGGAGGTCATTGAGCACCCACTTCAACTGTGGGTGACAATGCACTATGAAAATAAGCTCAAAAAATAGCTAAAAAGAATAATGCTTCAGATACGATAAATAATCCTACTCCCATATTTAACCCTCTTTGTACCGCTAAAGTATGATTTCCTAAGTAAGTTCCTTCGGAAATCACATCTCTAAATCAAAAAAACATACTTGAAAAAACTAGTATAAATGCGGCAGGTAATCAACTTCCTGCCGATGAAAAACCGTGCATAGTTAAAACACCTGATGTTGTTAAAGTTAATAAGCTAATACAGGTAAATATTGGTCAAGGTGAAGGAGAAACTAAATGAAAAGGGTGTCCTTGAAAAGCACTTCTGTTTAAATTAGACATCGTAAATTTATTTTTATATTTCATTCAATTGTTTATATGTGTATTACTTCCAAATACTATGCAAACATATATGGCTTAACTACAAATGTTTAAATATATAATTAAATGTACCATCTGCATTAACATATCATGTTCTAGATCCACTTGGATGTTCAATAGTACATACCTCCACACTAGTAATGTTAGGATCCCGCAAACAATCACTTTGGTACTTAGATATTGATAAAGTATCATGGTTTACGTTCGGTGCCCTTTTAAACATAGTAAAATACTTATACATACAATGTATTTGTATTCTGTCGTGGGGTACTTCTATGCTATACAATTTAGTATTTGCATATCATTGATTTCCTTGGTGAACGATTTTAATACAATTGTGGGAAAATTTAAATCCAAGTATACCGTTAAATTGTTTAGCTTTTAACCCAAAAGAATGAGTAGAATGGTAATCTTGTACAAACTTAAAAAAACCAGTGTTTACACCTTTAGTGCAAATCATAAGTCCTTCAGTGTCCGCAGGATTATTATCCGAATATTTGTAATTTTGCCCAAGTAGGTCACATCAATGATCCCCATTTTTTGATTTATCTTCAACATAAATAAAGTCTGATCTCTCTACTTTACCAGATAAATCAAAACTTTGATGTCTTATAATGAAATCTACTATACCTGCTTTGTTACCACCTAATCCTTGTGGCGAGATAACATAATTGCAAGTTTGGGGGAAATAGTTTCTAATTATTTCACACATCAGCGTATCTACCTCTGCCTCTACGGAAGGAGAAGAGTTAACTAACGAAATCTGTGAATTAATACCACCTAAATCTCAATAAAAATTACTATTGGTGAAGACTAGACCTGAGAAGTCCAGTACTCTTTCACTCAAGGTTTCTTCGATTGCAGCATTACTTATATTAGTTAAGGTTGAGCCCGCCATCGCAGCACTTTCTTTAACTTGAATGAATTTATTATCGGCCGGGCTTATACCGATGCTATTTAAATAAGTTATAGCTGAATCTCTATAATTTGCGTGAGCATTATGAGGTATATTGTTTCTAGAAAAGTATTGTAAAAGGTCTGCGTGTTTATGCAAAAAGTTGTTAAATATTTGCACTCAAACCATCATTATTATCATCACTTTTAAAGTGATTACCAATATCATTAATAGCAACTTGTTTTGCTAAAACACTTCCTTCGTCCATAGGATTCGGAATGTTCGAGTTAGGTATTGTAAACCAGTCTGTGGAACCTTCTAATTTTATAAAATTAAACAGGTTATTATTTAAACAGGTAAAACATTTATTACTAATGATAAGTCCATTATAAAATACGCTGTCTGCTATACATAATGATAAGTTAAACCCTGCAGATGTAATTAGTATTAATGCAAAGCTATTTACATTTAAATTCGATAATACACTAGTAATAGGTGTTACTGTTTTAATAGAACCGCTACGCATATAGACAAACAAAGTATTAAATAGTAACACGGAAGGTATAATAAGTCCAATAATAATATGAATATATATAATATAGCCTAAATTTCGAAGAGGAATAATATAAAATATTTCTGTTCTTAATCCTCATAGTAATAACGCTATAGTAGCAATAGTATATTTGGTCTCACGATCCATGTTTAAAATATTAACTATTATCATATGAAGCTTATCAAAAAAAGAGCAATCATTAATTGCTTTTTCTTCGTTTTTAATTATTATAACTGCGCAGATAAAAGCAGATAAAATAATAAGAGAGAAAAATGATAAACCGTAGTAACCCATAGGGCTAACTAAAATCGTATTTATCGTTGAGGCAAGACTACACAAATATATTGATAAGAAACCAATAATTCTAAAGCCTGTTATAATTTCTCTTGAGTCAACTAAACTCGATAAAGGGTGACTTTTTCTAATTCTCATTCTAAAATTCTGATGTTTAATGTATTTTACTTTAATTTTTTCATAAATAGTATCATAAGATACACTGAAAAAAAAACTTTTATAAGGAATAAGTGATTCGAACACTCAACCTTCCGTGTGTAAAACGGTTGCTCCACCAATTGAGCTAATTCCTTTGCAAAATTAATGTTCTAACCAGGAGAAAAATTAGCGTTTTTTATTTTTGTTTTATTGTTATAATTATAGCACCTACCATAGCTAATAATAGTATGATAGAAGTTAATATTAATCATATAGGATAACTAGTATAAATCACATTACCAATGCTGGTTATGTGCGATGATTCTGCTAAAGCACTATCTCATATATGAGAAGTAACAAAAGATAAGTCATTACTATGAAAATTATACACATTATCAGAGGCATAACTCATTTTTGATACCTGATCAACTGATTTAGAAGAAAAACCATAAAACATATCATATGCTAATACGTTGCTTCCAGCAGTTACATTTGAAGGCAATAATTTATAAAGAGTGATATTAAATAATATACCTATAATAAAAGCTAAAGGTATACTGTTATTAGTGTCGGTTATAAGTTCGGAAACTCTAACATTAATTAACATCAGTATAAATAGAAATAATATAGATACAGCTCCTACATAAACTAGTAGATAAGATAAACCTATAAAGTTTATACCTAACATCATTAGGTAGCCTGCTATATTAAGAAATAATCCTATTAAAAATAACACAGACACAATAGGATTTTTGCTTACAATAACTGAAATACCACAAATTATAGATGTAAGTTCAATAATACTAGTTCAATAATACTTAGTAAACCGTAGTTTAAGCCATTGGTAAAAGTTTCATTTAAAACGAATAAATTTAGCATTAGATTATAATTTTGTAATTTCTCATCTGATCATTAATTGAAATGATTAAGCTTTATTTAACTAAATAGAGAATATATATGTATTGTGTTTTAGGTATTAACACACCTGTTTATTCTAAAATAAACAGATGTTAGCGGGGATAATATCAAAGCTGTATATAATACAAGGAACTAAAACTATAAAAGCTATAACAATTGGAAGTAATATAGTTCAAGAAAATGACATTAATTGATCAAAACGTATTCTAGGAAAAGAGGCTCTCACTCATATAAAAACAAAAACCATTATACAGGATTTTATTCCTATAGTTAAACCATATATCACACCCTCTATTAATGGGTATGAAGTAAACGTAAATAGTAAATCTGGTATACTTGCAGGATTAGGAGTAAACATAAAAACATTATCTATAAGGTAAAATGCATATAATACATAGCTATAATCCAATAAATAACCACCTAAAAACAGTATACTGTTAAGTATACATATAAGCACTATACTTGCATATTCCGCTAAGAAGAAAAAAACAAATATAACTGCTGCGTGTTCTGTCATAAAACCACTAACCAATTCTGATTCTGCTTCTGCTAAATCAAAAGGAGCTCTGTTTGTTTCTGCTACAGAACCTATGAAAAATATAATAAACACAGGTAGCAAAGGTAAAATAAATCATATTGCTCTTTGAGATTCTATGGTAACAGTTAGATTTAAACTACCTGTTAATAGAATAACAAGTAATATAGCAGAACTTAATATTAATTCATAACTTATAAGCTGTGCAGTACTTCTTAAAGAACCTAAAAATGCATACTTAGAATTAGCAGATCATCCTGCTAATAATATTCCATAGGTAGCAAGAGAAGAAACTGCCAACATGTATAGTATACCCAGATTAAAATCTCATAAAGCCATTCCAGGTCCATATGGTACTACTGCGTAACCTAGCAATGAGAA